ATGATGTATATACTACAACCCCAATTCAGAAGAAGATGGGACAGTATGGAAAACACAAATAAAATAAAGAAGAAAGTGATTTCCAAATTTAGTTTGGCATGTATTTCATTGTAGACAATACAACAAACATTATTTAATGTGTTCATCATTATTTTTAGAGTATTGTTTTAATAAACATCGATTTCAATTTTGGTTCTTGCAACAAATTTCCAAAAATGTCAGTGCAGTAAAGGATTGACCACTTTGTAATGTACCCGTTCCTTTTCACAACTTTTAAAATGCGTTTAGGGACTGAAGACAGCAAGTGATTAAAGTGTTTTAAGTCTCATTCTGTCCCATTCTTCCTGCAAACAAGTTCTAAGGGGGGCAACAGTACGGGGTCTTCATCGTCACATTTTGCGCTTCAAAGTGCACCACACATTCTCCATTGGAGACAGGTCGGGGCTGCAGACAGGCCAGTCCAGTACCTGTATCCTCTAGGACTCTGTAATGTGTTGAGAATGTGGTTTTGCATTGTCTTGTTGAAATATGCATTGGTGTCCCTGGAAAAGAAGGCAGCATATCGTGCTCCAAAATCTCCATGTATTTTTTTAGCTTTGCTTTTAAGCTGTGTAACTTTGGTCAAATGTTTTGGGTCTCCTTCTACAAGCTTCTCACAATAGTTTGCAGGAGTTTTGGCCCATTCCTCCTAACAGAATTGCTGTAACTGAGTCAGATTTGTAGGCTGTCTTGCTCGCACAAGCTTTTTCAACTCTGCCCACACATTTTCTATAGGATTGAGATCAGGGCTTTGTGATGGCCACTTCAAAACATTCACTCTGTTCTCCTTAAAGCACATTTGAACTCATTTGGCAGTATGCTCAGGGTCATGGTCTGTTTGGAAGAGTCATTTGTGGCCAAGTTTTAATTTCCTGGCTGATGTGTTGAGATGTTGCTTCAGTATTTCTACATAATGTTCTTTCTTCATGATGCCATCTATGCTGTGAAGTGGACCAGTCCCTCCTGCAGCAAAACAGCCCCACAACATGATGCTGCCGCCCCCATACTTCACAGTTGGGATGGTGTTCCTAGGCTTGTGTGCTTTCCTCTTTGTCCTCCAAATGTAACACTGCTCATTAAGGCCAAACAGTTCAATCTTAGCTCCATCAGTGCTATGTCTCCAAACATGAGTCTTTTCCCAGTGTAATTCAGCTAATTGTAATCTGGCTTTGTTGTTGATTCTGACTTGTTGATTTTCCCATGTTGTCACACAAGGAAACGACAGTTTCAACTATTCGACAGTTGTGCCTCCAATTAACTTAAATGTCGTCAATCAGCCAATCAGAAACTTCCAAAACGCTGACATCATCATCTGAGCTTTTCCAGAGGCAGAATAATCTTATTGTATGTAAACTTAAGTTATAACAGTTTCTCAAAACATCTCTCTCTCATTATTCTGCTATTAAGCAGGTTTGATTGGACTTTATTTGGAGTGTGTTGCAGGTCTGAATGACAGGGAAGGATGTATATTTACAAATGAAATGAAGTTGACCAGACAAAGTCAAAGTAAAATTCAGAAATCACTACTTTCTTTTTTTATTATTTGTGTTTTTCATACTGTCAGCATTTTATGATTTGGGGTTGCGTATATAAAATATATGACTAAATACTGGATGTATTCAAATATTAAAATGCTTTTCTAATTAAAGACAAGCTCATTATTAAGACATTTTTTTCTGATTTCCTCAGAGAGATCCATAGAGCTGGCCATGACCAAAGAGATGCTTTTACTCAGCCTACCCTTCGCATACTCTGGTAAGTTCAACTTTGAAAGAGTGGAAGCAGGGTTTTAAAGGGTTGAGTGTTTAGGAATGTATCAGCCACCGATATTATTGAATTAATTTTTTTTTGTTTTATATATTGAATTAACATCGATATTGAATTAATTTAAAGCTTTAGGCATATCTACAATAATTTGAAAAAGCCAATAGTTACAAATTGTAATCAAATCAAACATGCATTGTGCCTCTTGAAATGTTTGACAGATGACTGTTAAAGGGCCATGAATCCCCCCGTTTCAACAGGATGTTTTCACACCTCTAGTTTGGAAAAAATCAGGAAAGTGGGCGTGTCTAGCTTTGTTTGGGTGGGAGTGTCGGGGGAGGAAAAATGGGCAGGGTCTGAATAAAAATGGGAGTTGCCATTTGGGCATACGCTTCTGACCGAGTACAAACACACACGCAGGAGAGACAGTGTGTTTAATGACGGTGGGATGTTTGATACCGCACGTCGTATAAGAGAAAAAAGCCTCTGCATTTCTCTGTAACTCAGATGCACTCAGGAGGTCAGAAAGCCGTGTGTGTGTAGACTATCCTGTCACAAAATGCGGCGAAAATTCAACACGACTTTCGGCAAAATTTTGCTTACAGTGTTCACGTGTTTACACACAGAGAGCAGCATTTACAGCAGATCTTTCAATATTGCAGTGATATCAACGTACTGTAAAGTAAGAACTTAGAAATCATTCTGACTAAGATCTGTCTGTAAACACTGAAAGAGTACTGCTGACCATACCAACTATAACTTTGCCATCTGAATGAACAAAGAAAGGGCGCTGATCGCACACACTTACCAAATCTGTAGACAGGATAATCAGCTCATACTGGAGCTGCGTCTTTATTAAAGGAGACGAGCAGCAAATCCACATCTCACCATTGATGAGAAATGCTCTCGAGTAAAAAATATTCCAAACAAACGCATTTCTGCCGCGCGTCGCATACACAGATCCACACGTGAGTCTAGCAGCGTCTCATAGAGAGAAAATGAAAACAAAACCTTCACATTATGAAGGCAACACTGGCGACCCGTATCTCCAAACGGTTCTTATTCTTTTCCCACAACTTCTGGCAACACGACGTGTGTCGTCTCTCTGCCGTCTGAACACTGTTTCAGGTACAGTCTAAGAAAGCTAGCATGCATATTAATGAAGTTGCAGCGCATACATAATGGAGCGCGCTGATTGGTTTGAACCAAGCCATACTCATGAATGAATGCAGCACACTCAGTGTAATACGGGACGCCCCGGTACAGTCGTCCAGTCTGCACGCTGGAATACACGCTATTATCTCATGACCGTGACGCAGCTTCAAAAATTCGTTTCAAACCGGAAGTACGAATTTGCTCGAAATAACGCAAAAACAACCAATTTACACTTTTTAGTGAAATATAGGTGTCCTAATAGTGTTTTTAGCAGTGTGGGACACATATACCACTGTCAACACCTCAAAACACGTGTTCTGGCGTTTCGTGACCCTTTAAATAGATCCAGAAGTCATAATGAATTGCCCAACTGTGAATCTTTTTCTTTTGTCAAATATTTCCCAAATGATGTTGAACATATTCAGGAATTTTTCACAGTATTTCCTATAATATTTTTTTTTCTTCTGGAAAAAGTCTGATTAGTTTTATTTCAGCTAGAATACAAGCAATGTTGCCAGATTGGCTGGTTTTTGAGTTTGATTGTGTGGGTAAAAATGGCACAGACGAAATGACAAAATTTGGGTAGTTTTGAAACATAAACCTTATATGCAACTTATTTACTAAAACAGAACCGTGTGCTCCTACTCCATTCAGTTAGTGGTGACCATTGCATAGCGCAAACCGCGTGGGCCCACCCACAAGAGGAGGTGTATTAAAATCTGACTCCCAGGACAAATCCACCATCGAAATGTTGTCTTAGGGCCCATACCAGCCAGCAGCACCCCTGTCTTCAACTGTATATTACTAAAATAGTACTGTATGCAATCATATTGTATCAGTATAGTCCAAAGAAAAATCCCTACATCTCTAGTTTTAATTAATTCATAAAAGTAACTTTAATCCATGCATTCATATTTATTCAGTAATCTGGAGCATGTGAAAGCCAGGTTGAGGGTTGCACAGATTGTTGTAGTAACCGATTGAGTGTGTTTGCTGATGTGTGCAGGTCTGGAGCTGACCTTTTACAGTGGCGTGTACGGGACATGTTTAGGGGCCATGACTCAGTTTGGAGAGGACGCCAAGGGTCTGATCGGCCTGTCTGGGATTCTGATCGGTGTGGGGGAAATAGTTGGTGAGTTGCGGCTCTGTAAACATGAAAAACAAACGCTATTGACAAAGAGAACCATTGAGCTGTCCATAGAGATCCATAGTCAAGACTGTCTGATGGTTTGAGGAAGCCCGATCGGAAAGTTTGAACAAGTTTTAAATTGATTGATGGATGGTTGGGTAGACACGAGGACGGATGGATGGATGGATACAGGGATGGATGGATGTATAGATGCTTAAATGAATGCATAGGTGTATGGATGGATGGATGGATGGATAGATGGATATATCCAGGAATGGGTAGACGGATGAATGTATAGATGGATGGATAGATTGATGGATGGATGTATAGATACATGGATGTTTGGATGGCTGGATGTATAGATGCATTGATCTATAGACGAATGGCCAGATGGATGGATCTATAGGTACCTGGATGGGTGGATGGATGGCATGTATAAATGGATGGATGGATGGTTGGGTAGACACACGGACGGATGGATGGATGGATGGATACAGGCATGGATGGATGTATAGATTCTTGAATAATTGCATAGCTGTATAGTTGGATGGATGGATGGATGGATGGATGGATGGATGGATGGATGGATAAATCCAGGAATGGGTAGACGGATGAATGTATAGATGGATGGATGTATAGATGCATGGATGGTTGGATGGTTGGATGGATGGATGTATAGATGCATTGATGGATGGACGAATGGCTAGATGGATGGATGTATAGGTAAATGGATGGGTGGATGGATGGCATGTATAGATGGATGGATGGATGGATGGTTGGGTTGACACACGGACAGATGGATGGATGGACGGATGGATGGATGGATGGATGGATACAGGGATGGATGGATGTATAGATGCTTGAATGAATGCATAGCTGTATAGATGGACGGATGGATGGATGGACGAATGGATGGATGGATGGTTAAATCCAGGAATGGGTAGATGGATGGATGTATAGATATATGGATGGATGGATGGATGGCTGGATGTATAGATACAGAGATGGATGGATGGATGTATAGATGCATTGATGGATGGACGAATGGCTAGATGGCTGGATGTATAGGTACATGGATGGGGGATGGATGGATGAATGGATAGATGGATGGATGGATGGATATTCAGATACATGGTTGGATGGTTGGTTGGATGGATGGATGTATAGATACATTGATTGTTGGATGGATGTATAGATACATGGGTGGATGGATGGATGTATAGATGCAAGGAAAGATGGATGTATAAATACAGAGGTAGATGGATGTCTATATATATATATATATATGGATATAGATACATTGGTAGATAGATAGATAGATAGATAGATAGATAGATAGATAGATAGATAGATAGATAGATAGATAGATAGATAGATAGATAGATAGATAGATAGATAGATAGATAGATAGATAGATAGATAGATAGATAGCCGGGTGGATGGACAAACAGATAGATAGATGGATGAAAGAGGGGTTGATGAATGACTGACAGATAAATAGACAGAAACAGATGGATGAATGGACAGACAGTCAGGCGAGTTTCCTCATCCTCTGCTCCTCATGCAGTGTTGTGTCTTCTGTTGTCCAGGAGGTGGCGTGTTTGGGATTCTGGATAAGTGTAACCGCTACGGCAGGAACCCAGTAGTGTTTTTGGGGCTGCTCACTCACATCGTGGCCTTCTACCTGATCTTCCTCAACATCGCCAGTGATGCTCCGGTCGCTCCAGAGGAAGGCACTCAGATGCAGGCCTTCATCCAGCCCAGGTACGACACACACACACACGAACATGCAGAACACGAACTCTGTTTACATCAACAGTTTTCTCTGCTTTTGTTTTTAAACAAATCTCCGTCCAAATGAAGACACTAAAACACACTGTGATGCAGTTTTTAGTGCTCCAACGGGGGGCGATGATGACACTGTTATGCTGGGTTCACACCATACCTGCCAACATCCCCGTTTTTCCCGGGAGTCTCCTGCATTTCAGACCCATCGCCCGCCACCCTCCCGTTTTGTTATTTCTCCCAGAAATCTCCTGTAATTTCACTCGCAGCTAGTCCTTAGCTTTTTTGGTACGGTCTGTAACACCTCCGGGTCGCCAACTTTGGTATAGTATCCGATCACATCTGCCACCTGAAAACCGGTCCATAGTACAGTTACTAACACCATAGTACAGCTACTAACCCGGTTCTCAACGGTGTTATTCAGACAAACACTAGGCTAGTGTTGAACAGTAGATTATGCTCTAGGCTAGTTTTTAACAGCAGACGGTGCTCTAGGCTAGAGTTTAACAGATGATGGTGCTCTAGACTATGTTTTAATAGCAGACTGCCCTCTAGGCTAGTTTTTACCAGCAGATGCCGTTCTATGATAGTTTTTAACAGCAGATGCTGCTCTAGGCTAGTGTTGAACAGTATACGACGCTGTAGGCTAGTTTTTAACAGCAGATGCTGCTCTAGGCTAGTATTGAACAGTGTTCTGGATTACTTTTTAGCTGTAGATGGCGCTCTAGGCTAGTTTTAAACAGCAGATGGCGCTCTAGGCTAATATTTCACAGCAGACGTTGCTCTAGGCTAGTTTTAACAGCAGATGGTGCTCTAGGCTATTGTTGAACTCTGGATTAATTATTAACAGTATACGGCGCTCTAGGCTAGTTTTTAACAGCAGACGGCCCTCTAGGCTAGTTTTTAATAGCAGATGGTGCTCTAGGCTAGTTTACAACAGCAGATGGTGCTCTAGGCTAGTTTTTAACGGCAGATGCCGCTCTAGGCTAGTTTTTAACAGCAGATGGCGCTCTAGGTTAGTTTTCAATGGCAGATGGTGCTCTAGGCTAGTTTACAACAGCAGATGGTGCTCTAGGCTAGTTTTTAACGGCAGATGCCGCTCTAGGCTAGTTTTTAACAGCAGATGGCGCTCTAGGTTAGTTTTCAATGGCAGACAGAGCTCTTGGCTAATTTTGTACTGCAGATGGCGCTCTAGGCTAGTTTTAAACAGCAGAGGGTGCTCTAGACTGGTTTTTAATAACAGAGTGTGCTCTAGGCTAACTTTTAACGGTGCTCTAAGCTAGTTTTTAACAGCAGGTGGTGCTCTAGGCTAGTTTTAATAACATATGGCGCACCATGATAGTTTTTAACAGCAGATGGCACTTTAGCATAGTTTTGAACAGTAGATGGGGTTGTAGGTATGTTTTTAACAGCAGAGAGTGCTCTAGGCTAGTTTTTATCAGCAGACGGCGCTTCAGGCTAGTACTTCGTTTTTATGTTGTCAAACAGCGAAACTGCATAGAAAAATGTGCAGTTTTGAAAATACCCATGTTCGTGTAGACAGGGTCTTATTCTCGCACACTGATTGGTCTGTTTGTGTGTGTTCCGCCAGTGTGGCCGTGGCGCTGATCTGCAGTTTTCTGCTGGGTTTTGGCGACAGCTGCTACAACACTCAGCTCATCAGCATTGTGGGATACTTGTTCCGGGACGACAGCGCTCCAGCTTTTGCCGTCTTCAAATTTGTACAGGTTTGAGACTCAATTTCATTAACCCTTGTGTGCTATTCAAATTGACTCCCCTTTGGTTGTGTCTGGGGCTGTTTTTGCCCCATTGGCTCTCATTATAAGCACATGTATTGACTGCAAAGCCATGACAGCATACAATCATGCATTCTTGATTGCTGCCGGTTTTTCCTGTTGTGAAGAGGTCAAACCTTTAATTTTTACTGTTGATTTGTGTGTGTGCGCAGTCCATCATGGCAGCGGTGGCCTTCTTCTACAGTAATTACCTGCTCCTGCACTGGCAGCTGCTAATCATGGTGCTGCTGGGCTTCATGGGCACCATCACCTTCTTCATGGTGGAGTGGTCTGTGATCCGCAGCCGCCGCGACTCTGACTACGGCGGCATCTGACAGCGCAGATAAACACACACTGCATTGACAGAACACTTTCCTCTTCACTCCCATTGCTGCACGTTCAGATGCTGGAGCGCAAAGTGGCCATTCTGCTTTCTGTCCTAGACCCTTTACTTGCACACAAGAAGAGCTGTGGTGAAAAATCATTCGAGACTTTCAAAATGCATCACTGTTCTCTGTTGAATTGATTGTGAGCCAAGTTTAACAGCACATGGTGCTTTAGGCCATGTCATAACAGCAGACTGTGCTCTAGGCTAGTTTTGAACCACATATGGCACTCTAGGCTAGTTTATAACAGCAGATGGCACTCTAGGCTAGTTTGATAGCAGATGGCATATTAGGCTATTTTTAACAGCTGAAGGTGCTCTAGGCTAGTTTGTAAAAACAGACGGCGCTCTAGCATAGCTGTAACAGTGAACGGCGCTCTGGGCTAGTTTATAACCGCGAATGGCACTCTAGGCTAGTTTTGAATAGCAGATGGCACTGTAGGTCAGTTTTTACTGGCAGACGGCGCTCTAGGCTAGTTTTAACAGCAGATGGCACTCTGGGCTAGTTTTAACAGCAGATGCCGCTCTAGGCTAGTTTTGAACAGCAGATGGCGCTCTGGGCTAGTTTGTAACAGCGATTTTTGAACTGATTTAACACTAGCCTAAAGCACCTTTTGCTCTTTAAAACAAACGTAGAGCACCATCTGAGGTTTAAAAACTAGCCTAAAGCACATTCAAAACTGTTCAAAACTAGTCTAGAGCGCTTCTGCTGTTCAAAACTAGCCTAGAACGCATCTGCTGTTCAAAACTAGCCTATAGTGCCATCTGCTGCTAAAAACTAGCATAGAGCGCCATCTGCTGTTCAAAACTAGCCTAGAGCTCCATCTGCTGTTCAAAACTAGCCTAGAGCGCCATCTGCTGTTCAAAACTAGCCTAGAGCGCCATCTGCTGTTTAAAACTAGCCTAGAGCGCCATCTGCTATTCAAAACTAGCCTAGAGCACCATCTGCTATTCAAAAGTAGCCTAGAGCTCTATCTCCTGTTCAAAACTAACCAAGAGTACCATCTGCTGTTCAAAACTAGCCTAGAGCGCCATATGCTGTTCAAAACTAGCTTAGTGCGCATCTGCTGTTGAAAATTAGCCTAGAGCGCCTTCTGCTGTTAAAAAGTAGCCTAGAGCGCCATCTGATTAAAAAACTAGCCTAGTGCACTTCTGCTGTTCAAAACTAGCCTAGAGCACCATCTGCTGTTCAAAACTAGCCTAGAGCGTAATCTGCCGTTAAAACCTAGCCATAAGCGCTATCTGCTTATAAACTAGCCTAGAGCACCATCTGCTGTTAAAACCTAGCCATAAGCACTATCTGCTTATAAACTAGCCTAGAGCGCATCTGCTGTTCAAAACTAGTCTAGAGCACCGTCTGCTGTTAAAAACTAGCCTAGAACGCCATCTGATGTTAAAAACTAGCCTAGAGCACCATCTGCTGTTCAAAACTAGCCTAGAGCACCATCTGCTGTTCAAAACTAGTCTAGAGCACCGTCTGCTGTTAAAAACTAGCCTAGAACGCCATCTGATGTTAAAAACTAGCCTAGAGCACCATCTGCTGTTCAAAACTAGATTAAAGAATCATCTACTGTTTAAAAACTAGTTTAGAGTGCCATCTACTGTTAAAAACTAGCCTAGAGCGCCGTCTGCTGTTAAAAACTAGCCTAGATCGCCATCTAGTGTCAAAACTATGCTCAAAATGGATTCAAAAGAGAATAGAAAAGCATTTTGAAAATCTCGCTCAGCTCACAGAGCCCACAGCTCTATAAATAAGAAAAGTTTACTCCACACCCAGATGGCATCAAGTGCTGAATAATGCAATAAACGTTTTTAAGTTTTTGATTAGCTTAAGCCTAAACAAGATGCAGGTTGCAATAGTCGTGATTCGCCCAGAGGTGATTTCTTCTTTCTGAGGTGAAGAGTTTTGTGCAACACAAGGAGATATTTTGGAAGGATCTTCAGGCAGCTCATTTCATTATAAAGACTGTTCACACCAGGCTACAACGTAATCATACAAATGTGCACTATACTTCACGTTTACTTAAGCTTTTAGCGAGGAACAGATTGAAAATTTCGTTTACAGCTCTAAAACTGAATTCCTTATTCAAATGAGTTGCTTGAATTCTTAGCATGAGGTTCGGCCAAACTCTCTTTGCTTTCGTTACTGTAAATGAATCAATTTGTTAGCAACTCATGATCTGCATGCTGCAGCCTGCTCTAAATTTCAGTCTGATCATCTGAGAAAAGCCTTAGTGCATCACATTAGACCCTGTTTTCCACATACACTATTTTAGCTGGACATATGTGCTCACTGTGAATTTTGGAAATTTGGGGTGTGAAGATTCTTCTGATATTCTGATAAAACTACTTAAAAAAAATTTTAATTTGCCATTAATTAATCACCTTAAGGTCATCCTAGATATAGACACCCTCCTTTTCTAGTTCAATAGAGCATTTTTTAGCTGAAACTGTGGTCCTAAAATATTAAAATACAAATTAACGGTCACCTAGGGCAGCTGAGGGAGCGCAATTGTGCTACACGTTAAGTAAACGCACGCAAATTGCAAACACTATCAAATCAATTTGACAACACATGCAAATTCAGAAATCCACTACAAATAGTGCAGACCCCTAAGAAAACGTGTCGGGGACCCCACAAACCTAGCTACTTCCTGTTTGTAGAGCTTGTATAGTTTGTTTTTATTTAAACATTTTAATCATACAGCTCGTTAAATTTGTAGTTCCGAAAGTAATTCCTAGCATGGTATTTAAATTACGTTTATTTAACGTAGGTTTTGCGATTCGTCCGATTACTAGGACGAAAAATTTACAAACAACAAGGACGTTAAGAGTAACACCTGACGACACTATTGATTCTAAACAGGAAGTAGCCGGATTGTCACTTTTTATGCTCCCCATCATATTTCCGATATTTGCAGTGCGTTTCTATAATGAGCGAATTAACACATTGATTTTACACCGCATGCAAAAATCTCAAACACAAAACAAATACAGAAACGCACTACAAAGAACACGTGTCGGGGACCCCACAAACCTAGCTACTTCCTGTTTGTAGAGCTGAGTTTGTTTATTTTTGTTTAAACACTCTGATCGTACAGTTCGTTAAATTTGTAGTTCCGAGAGTAAACATGGCATTAAAATAACGTTTTATTTAAGGTTAATTGTGGGATTCGTCCGCTTACTAGGATGAAAAATTTACAAACAACACGGAATCGTACAACCAGGATGTTAAAATAAACAATAGTCGACACTGCTGTGTCTAAACAGGAAGTAGCCAGTTCATCGCTTTTTATGCTCCCTAACACATTTCGCTATTTGTAGTGCGTTTCTATATTTGCATGTGTGGTTCATGTATACAAATTGATTTGACAACACATACCAATTCTCACAATACGAAGAAACAAACTGCAAATAGCACAGACTAAAACGGTAATGTGTCGGGGACCCTAAAAATTGACGAACTGGCTACTCCCTGTTTAGAGTCAGTGGTGTTTTCACTGTCCAGAGAGCTGGTTGTACGATTCTTTATTGTATGTATGTTTTCAGCCCTAGTAGTCTTACAAATTGCGCAATTGACGATTGAATTTGCGTTGCGAAAATTTTTTAATCGATTTCACAGCTTGCCCATTTTTTGCCTGTTGAATATTTATTTATTTGACTTTCAAATATTCATTAACGGTTTATGAACCACTAATCACTGCACTTTCAGCTACAAATCCTTGTTAATATTCTGCCTCAGAAAAACTTAAAACATCAACAAGTGAATAAATAAATGGCAAATTAAATATTTTTTAGGTGAATCATCACTTTAATATGCAATAAGTCTCCAAGCAATGCTACGTTGTTTAAATGTACACTACGCTGCGATACTGTTGATGAGGAATATGATTATATAGTTTTAATTTACACAATTACCATCAATGTGCGGTCAGCGGGTAAATGAAGATGTCTTATTTTAATTATTTCAATTGCCTTCGTTGTTATTTTTTTAAGAAAACAATTTTGCCAAAGATCGAAGCACTCTTTGTACAAACTTGTACTTGTTTTTTTTTTTTTTTTTAGGTCTGTCGTTGTTTACTTGTCTGCAGGGAACCATATTACAGCAAATCTATGGAGCCAGATCAGTCTCAAATTATACGTTCACAAAAAATAATTCATACATCCACGACACAATTCACATTTATGAAATCCAATTTGTGAGTTCAAAATTCAATTCGTAAATGCACAAATCCAATTAGTCAATTGAAAATATGATTAAAAAATACGCAAATTAAACTTTTGAATTTAAAATACTATTCAAAAATACACTAATCCAAATCGTTAACTCAAAATGCAATTTAAAAATGCACAAATCCGATTCGTCAATTCAAAACTTGATTCCGAAATACTCAAATAAAATTTGTTATTTCAAAACGTTTCCTTAAAAATACACAAAAACAATTCCTCAATTCAAAAAATGATTCAAAAATACACAAATCCAATTCGTTAATTCAAAACGCAATTTAAAAATGGACAAATTTAATTTGTCGATTCAAAACTAAATTCAAAATTTCACAAATCCAATTTGTTAGTTCAAAACGCAATGCAAAAATGCACAAATCCATTTCGTCAATTCAAAATACTGTTCAAATAAATGCGAATTCAATTCGTCAATTAATAACGCAATTCAAAAATGCACAAATCCAATTCACTAATTCAAAACGCAACTCAAAAATTTACAAATCCATTTTGTCGATTCAAAATGACATTCAAAAAGTCACAAATCCAATTCGTCAATTTAAAACGCAACTCAAAAGTGTCCAAACCATTGTATTATTTCAAAACGCAATTTAAAATTGCACATTTCTAATTGATCATTTCAAAAATGTAATTCAAAATTGCACAAATCCAATTTGTTAGTTCAAAATGCGATACAAAAATGCACAAATCCATTTAATCAATTCAAAATACTATTCAAATAAATGCATATTCAATTCGTCAATTAACGCAATTAAAAAATACACAAATGTAATATCTCAATTCAAAATGTGATTCAAAACTGCACAAATCCATTTCAAAATATGATTAAAAAATATGAAAATATAATTCGTCAATTCAAAACACCATTCAAAAATGCACAAAAACAATGTATCAATTCAAAATACTATTAAAAAATATGCTAATTTAATTTGTCAATTTAAAACATGTTTCAAAAATGCACAAATCCAATTAATTTGGTAGAAATATTTATAATTTTTACTTGGGAATTCCCAAATTGTGTGTTGTATTTATAAATTGTGTTTGGAATGTACAAATTGGATTTCATAAATGCATTAATTTTGAGACTGATCTGACTCCATACAAAGCCTATTACTGATGTAATCAAAAGGAGTCATTTGGAAATCAATATACTTATCGCTGCCAATTTATGCGTATTAAACAGAGTTGACATATATAAATTACGAATGTATTGAGAAAGGGTTCAGAAAGTCCTTTTAATACATTCATAATATGTTACCAGCTCATTCGCCTGGGAGAATTTGCTACACGTTTGTTATTACAGCAAAAATAATCAATCAGATTTTTATTTTATTATTATTTTGATCAATGCAATCTTCAGGATATTGAGGGAAAGTGTGACGGGAATATATCTGGTCATATACTTGAATGTATCTTACTGTATAAATGGTACAGGCACTCGGATTTTCTCGTTTTCTTTTATAAATATGTGTATATAAGGGATTAAAGAACATTTTGAGCCTTTGATTCTTGCTTGTGTCTCTATGCTTATTATGTTTAATGATTCACAATGCTTTACAGTAAAGAAAGAGTTTTATAGACAAAAATAAAGATGGAAAATATGTTTAAATATGTATACGTACATGCATACATATATTTTAGAGTTGCCAATAAAATAAAAACCTCTTCAGTCGTAAAGCGAGAGGGAAAAAAACATTTAATTTATCAATAAATATCTGGGGAAACTGGGTATTTTATGCCAGTATGCTTGTATGTTATGAGAATAAAATATTAATGAAGAAATCAGTTGTGTAATTGTATCATATCGCTCTTCGAGTTTTCTCTGAGATATAATGTATTGTTTACAGTCTCATCCGCTCTCACGTGCATGTCGTCTCTGCCTCTGAATCCATTGCTAAGCAACCAAAGACGCCGCAGCTCACAACAAAGGTATTTCAGTTGACCGACAGAATCTTTAGCCAATGAGAATGGAGAACGAGAGCGACGCGCAGCGCTTAAACCAATCAGCGTCTTGGGTAGGCGGGGAGAGCCAAAACGCAAGAGCAATCTTTCTACAATTTACCAGAGAGAAGCCGCCGGTAACGTGCGAATTAACGGAGGAAACAATGACGCGACTTGTTAAAGATTCGGGATAGCGTTATAAAAGTGTTTAAAGTAACGTAAAACCGTTTAGAGCGTTACAACTCGGTAATTATGTTTGAAAACAGGCTCACCTGCAACTCGCGCACCAGTTTGGAGAGATGTCATTCAAACAAACCGACCAAGCGGTTAGTTTCATGAGGTGTAATTAGCCGAACATCTTCATGAGGCATTATTAGCCGAAGTATCTTTATTGAGATATAAGCCAATTGTCTTTCCCGAGGTAACTTACACTATTATTAACCGAGCAGGTATTATTATTCAGTGTCTTTACCTGAGGCAGTACGTTATTAGCGGAGCATCTTTCCCGAGGTAACGTAGTTTTCGAGCATCTTTCATGAGGTATTATTAACCGAGCATCTTTCATGAGGTATTTTTCGGCCATTCATGTGTTATTTTTAACCGAGCATCTTTCATGAGGTAGCTTTCGACCATGTCGACGGAAATAAGTCTGCACGAGCTGCTGGATCTCTCCATCGGCACTCCGGACGCCGGCTCGGTGAACTTCGGCGCCCTGCACGCGTTACTGCGCGCCATCCTGGGCCACCTGAAGATCGAGAGGCTCACCACCAGCTTTAAAGAGCTGAGCATGGACCACGACGGCTCCACACAGACCAAAGCCCTGATGCTGGAGCCCTCGAGCTCGCAGCGGCTGCCCGAGGAGAGGCTGCGGCGGCTGGAGGAGCAGATGTGCGCGCTGGAGGATCTGCCGAGCGCCGCCGAGCTCATGGGCTCCGACAAGGCGCTCAGTGACCTGTGGAGCATCATGCAGATCCGCAGGAAAGCGCAGGGAAACGAGGATGGGGTGTCCAAGGTGAGCGGAGAACACCTAATACTACTAATAACGCTGTTTACATTTAGTTTCAGAGTTGTACACTGTAAAATATGCAGGCTTCCCAACTATGATGTTGTCCCAACACAAATCAATTAAGTTGATATAACATATTTAGGTAGATTAAACATAAAACAATTAGGTTGTTCCAAGGAAATCTCAAGAATGGTGTCGTTTCAGCTCATCTTAAATAAGTAGTTTAAACAAGCAGCAGAAATATTTGCATATTTGAGTGCATGTATATCTTAATATCTTCGCAAAATCTTTTTGTGTTTAATAGCAGAAAACTACACAGTAATTTTGTTTTTGTTTTTTTTTTCCAGAATTTCACAACATCAGAAAACAATCAGAATAAATTACATTATCACTTCACACTATTTGACTGAAATTTCCCAGTAGGCATTTGGAACTTTATTGAGACAATAATGCAGGCAACATCATGACTGTGAACTACTTGCACGTTAGTGATGTAAATTCAAACTCTTTTTTTATTTTATTTAACATTCTTACACATAGGCTTTTAGGCTTGTACAGAGATTTTTTTCTTACAGAGTACTAATGCTGCGTTTTAGAGTTTGTTTCAGAATAGCTTGGCAATGCACACTATAAAAATCTATATTGTATATATAAATGTATATCTTAATATAAATATATTTTTGTGTGTTTAACAGCTGAAATCTACACAGCAATTTAGTTTTATCTAGAATTTTACAACATGTAGTTTTTTCCACACCAAGCTACATTAATATCACCTCACAGCATTTCACAACAGTAATTTCTCATAGTAAATTCCATCAGTATCACTTCACAGGATTTGACTGTGTATTTCTTCAGCAATTTATTGCATTCAGAACTGTATTGTGACAATAATGCAAGGCAACATGATTACTGTGAACTATTTGCTACAACTTGCACGTTAGTAATTAAAATTCAAACTCGTTTTATTTTATTTAACATAGAAATAAGTACACACAAACTTACATAAACTCTTAGAGGGAGTAAAATCTCTCCGTGGCATTCTGCAAAATTGTTGCAAATAATTTATTTGAGTTTAATTGAATCAAACAAATTAAGTTTAGTAACGTTCAACTTAACTTGTTTGTTTAAATTCAACCCAAATAAATAGTTTACAACCACTCAACTTAAAATAATTTAGTAAATCCAAGGAATCATCTTTGAATAATTTTTTTTTAGTAAGTGTGCCCGCCACAAATACCTGCCACTCTACCTGTCACCGCTAGAGACAGCTGCCACGGCACCCCCCACAGCACCTGCCATGGTTATTTGGGTTTGCTACGGAACCCACCATGTTTATACGGGTCTGCTACAGAACCTGCCATGTTTATGCATGGCTGATATGGAACTCTCCAGAATACTAATACTGCTGTTTACAGTTTGTTACAGCCTGGCAATGCATAATGGAAAAATGTATATCTTAATATACATCCATATATATATATATATATATATATATATATATATATATATATATATATATATATATATATATATATATATATATATATATATATATATATAGTGACTTAGGATTGTAATACATTACAAATTTAAGCCTATCTCACTCCTTAAAATAAAATAAATAACAATACAAATACTTTTTCGCATTATTTACATATTTTTTGTATTATTATTTTCACATTTATATATTTATTTAAGTATCTAGTAACACATTTAGTTGCTTTTTTTTTAAAGAAGTGAGTTAAGTTTGTAAGAATCACACATTTAAGCCTATTCTACATTAAATTATTATATGAACGATTAGTCATGACAGCACATGTTTTTAATTCATTGTAACTTATTAAACTAAGCTAATCATGTTCTTACTTAGTTTTATATGTTAAGCAAGCGGTTTTAAGTCAGTTTAGCATAATATAAGTTCAATAGACTCATGAGGTTAATTTGATTCAGCTTCAAAATTTAAGGCAACCCGGATATTTTTTTACAGTGTACTCTTTAAAAAAAAACACAACGTAGATTTTCACATTGCTTTCCCTAAAACGTACTCAGTGGTTATTTTAACTGACTTAAGCTTCTAATATATTATAAATTTAATACCTCATATACTGTTTTATAAATCTTTAAATCTGCCCCTTTTAGGCTTTAATCCAAATTGTGGCTTTTTAGTGGCTGCCGCTTTAAATTCAAATGAGATTGTGCTCTTTTCAAAAGAGGGTGGAGCTACAAATGCCTTTGTGTCAGCATAGTGGCAGATTCAAAACAAGACTAGTGTCAAAACTCTAACGGCGAATGGACTGCTGCTTCTCACTAAGGACTGCCTATGCTAATGAGGGAGAGATGGTCACTAGTGGGCGGGGCTTTCCCTCTCTGATGACACGTACAAATGGAGATTGTCAATCAAAGTGTTTCTGCAGACTGTTTTTGTTAAGTCTGCTTATAAACATTACAATTAAAACATTTGTACCTTAAGAAGCTGGATATATTCACACACTGCTGACACACAACTGTGTTTAAACCCTTTATAAAACTGATTTTTGCATAATAGGCCCCCTTTAATGTCCAACAAGCCTTTTTTTTATAATAACAAAACAGGAATAATTAAACAATAACTGTGAGTAAGTGAATTCTCGATCTAAAAATGCCTTTATTATGCATTAACGTGATGTAAAAATGACTATATTAGTCTTAATCGTGAAGTGTGATGTAGAGAGCTGGAGGTGCAGTGGTCTGCTGGGGGTCTGCTGAGGCTGAATGTTTCATCAGTGTGCTGCTGATGACTGATGACAGACCACACAACAATGAGCCGCAGACACTGAGCTCCATTCTCAAATAACACCACCTGTGTCTCGAGTTCCTCAAACTACATGTTTGTCACACGCTCCTCAAACCCCTCAGAGGTCCTGGCACACTTAAATATCCATGATGGACGTCAGCTAGCTCTTCCCGTTTACCAAACAGACACGTATCAGAAGCTCAATTCTACTCTATACACCTTGTTAAGGTGCACCTATTATGCAACTGCAGACATATGCTGATATTTCACAATTCAGTGTATTAATGAACATGCAACCTTATTGATATCCTCAAAACACCATTCGTTATTATTTATTATTTAAAGGGCACCTATTTTACCCCTTTTCTAAGATTTAATATCATTATTATGGTTCTTCTGTGTGTGCAAGTTTAGGTTCAGTTCAAAACACAGTTCAGGTTTGTTTATTATAATGTGTTAAGAGTGTCATGTTGGGGCCGTGTACACAGGCCATTGTTTTAGGGGTGTGTTGCTTCACATGAAAGTTAGTTTCGACCTCCCGCCCAACTTAACAAGGGGGCGGAGCCAAGAGCTCCCATGCTTTGTGTATGGCAACAGACAGGCAGACAGAGAGAAGCAACATGAGGTCCAGCATTCAGCTGTATATACATACGACTTGGACACAGACCAGGCAGGGACTACTGTTGAGCAGGGTTTCTTCAGGGTCTTTAAAAGTCTTAAAATGTCTTAAATCTCAAAATCCAAACTTTAGGCCTTAAAAAGTCTTAAATTTACTGAAATATAGTGTTGTAGGTCTTAAATCTTTTTTTAAACAGGTCTTAATTTTCTTTTGTTTATGTATTGCTACCAAATCTGGCCTAAAAAGGTAATTTTAACTCTGTTTATCATAATGGTTTAATTATTTTGTTTACCGAAACATTTGATTAAAAGTTCTCTATGTATTTATTGCTGAAGACATCGACCTGGACATATTGTTTTGTTATATTTAGTATAAATATATTTATTTTATTATAGTTTATTAACTTTTAAAACATTTAAAAGAGCAACGCAGTGGCACAAAAGGTAGTGCTGTCGCCTCCCAACAAGAAGGTCGCTGGGTCGCTGGTTCGAACCTCGGCTCAGTTGGCATTTCTGTGTGGAGTTTGCATGTTCATGTTCTCCCTGCGTCCGCGTGGGTTTCCTCCAGGTGCTCCGGTTTCCCCCACAGTCCAAAGACATGCGGTACAGGTGAAATTGGGTAGGCTAAATTGTGTGTGTGTGTGTGTGTGTGTGTGTGGATGTTTCCCAGAGATGTGTTGCGGTTGGAAGGGCATCCGCTGCGTAAAAATGTTCTTGATAAGTTGATGGTTCATACCGCTGTGGCGACCCCAGAATAATAAAGGAACTACGCCGACAAGAAAATGAATGAATGAAAACATTTAAAAGAAAATTTGTCAATTTTTTATTTTAAAGAAAGTTGATGGTGTATACAGCCAATTTCAGATCGCTCCAAAGATGTTTAATAGGATTTAGGTCTGGGCTCTGGCTGGGCCACTCAAGGACATTCACAGAGTCGTTGTGAAGCCACTCCATTGATATTTTGGCGGTGTGCTTTGGGTCATTGTCCTACTGGAAGATGAACCGCCGCTCCAGTCTGAGGTCAAGAGCACTCTGAAGCAGGTCTTCATTCAGGATGTCTCATGCATTGCTGCATTCATCTTTCCCTCTATCCTGACTAGTCTTCCAGTTCCTGCTGCTGAAAAACATCCCCACAGCATGATGCCAACACCACCATGCTTCACTGAAGGGATGCTTTTAGCCTGGTGATGATCCCTGCCTGCTTTTCTCCAAATGTAACGCCTGACGTTCACTCCAAAGAGTTCAACTTTAGTCTCATCAGAGCAGAGAGTTTAGTTTCTGATGGTCTGAGAGTCCTTCAGATGCCTTTTCTCAGGCGGGGAGTGTCTTCCGTCTGGCCACTCTACCATACAGATGCCTGATTGGTGGATTGCTGCACAGATGGTTGTCCTTCTGTAAGGTTCTCCTCTCTCCACTGAAGAACGCTGGAGCTCAGACAGAGTAACCATTGGGTTACTGATCACCTACCTGACTAAAACTCTTCTCCCCGATCACTCAGCTTAGATGGCCGGCCAGCTCTAGGAAGAGTTCTGGTGATTCAAACATCTTCCACTTACGGATGATGGAGGCCGCTGTGCTCATTGGAACTTTAAGAGCAGCAGAAATGTTTCTG